AACTAAAAATATTTTTGTAGTGTTTCATGTCCCAACAGTAGCTTTTTACCACACACTCACATGCACAAACACATCTACAAGTAAGTGACTTAATAAACCAATGATTCAGAACACAGAGTGGCCCCACAGAGCAGAAGCAGCTGCCTCCTGCTCTGTCTGGTTCCAGTGTTGACACCTGATACATGACCATGCATTCAGCAACCCTGAATTTTCTGACATAAAGTCATGATTACTCTTCAGCACATTTTAAGTTATTTGATGCTTTCTAACATCATCCTGAGCTTTTATTGCTTCAAATACACAAATGGTTCCCATTCACTATATCCATCAAACTCACTTGCTTCATGTCTCTGATCAGATATAACTTTATCAAAACTAAACTGCCCTATATAAAACCTTTCTCATTATTCTCTAACTCTTAAATTCTGTTTTACTCTCTTCAGAGTAATTATCACCATTTTAGTGGTCTCTTAGTTATGGTTTCATTTTCTCATTAGAAAGCACGCTAAGGGAGAACAGGAGCCCTTTTTTGGTCATCGTATATCCTTAAACAGAGCGCCTAGAAGATAGTAGCCCTTCAATAAATAGTTGTCCAACAAATAAATAAATGTGAAAGGAAAAATTAGTCAAAAAGAGAATTCATTCTATTTCAGATATAATAAAATTGGGAATGTTCAAAAAAGGGGAATGTTCAAAAAATGTTAAAAATGGAAAAAAAGCTGGCAATATGGCATAGCACTTTGAGCTGCTGCCTGCGACACCAGCATCCCATATGAGCACTAGTTCAAGTCCCAGCTGCTCCACTTCTGAGCAACCTCTCTGCTAATGTGCCTGGATAAGCAGTAAAAGATGGCCGAGGTACTTGAGCCCCTGCCACCCACAGGGCAGGCCTAGATGAAACTCCTGAATCTGGGCTTCAGCCTAGCCAGATCCCAGCAATTGTGGCCATTTGGGGAGTGACTCACTAGATGGAAAATCTGCCTTTTTCTTTTCTTCTAACTCTGCCTTTCAAATAAATACAATGAACCTGTTTTTAAAAACTAGAGAAATAAGGTAAGCATTTGTCCTAGTAGTGAAGATGCAAACACCCCATTTTAAAGGATCTGGATGAGATACCTGACTCCAGCTCCTGACTCCAGTTTCTTGATAATATAGACCTTAGGATGCAATGGATGACTCAAGTGATTGGGTTCTTGCCACCCATGTGGGAGACTTGTTTTACGTTCCTGGCTCCTAGCCTCAGTGCTATACCCAGAGTCATATGGGTATTTGGGGAGTGAACCAACAGATGACAAATCACTCACTTTCTATCTCTCTGCTTTGCAAATAAACAACTTCTTTTTAAAAGATAGGGAAGAAATTTGCTAGCTACTCTCTCAGGTGTGATAAATGGAGCTAAGTGAATGTGATGGGAGTATCATTCAGTAAGGACAGAAAGGAATACAAGATTAAGAACCACACAGAACACTTTTTTTTAACAGAAAAGCATAGAAGAAAATTCAGTTGAAGGGATGAGGAAGGATAAACCAAAAGAATATGGTTCAAAATAGTGAGAAGATAATCAGTTGATCTCCATGTGCAGAAGTGTGAAACAAGACCCCTACCATACTCCTTACACAAAACTCCACTCAAAATGGATCAAGGACATAAATCTGTAACCCAATATCATCAATATACTAGAGAACATTGGGGAAGCTCTGTAAGAAATTGACACAGAGAAAGAATTCTTGGAAAAGATCCTCAGAAGTACAGGCAATCAAAGCCAAAATAGACAAATGAGATTACAAAGAGCTGAGAAGCTTCTACACTTCAAAAGAAACACTCAGAAAAGTGAAGAGGCAACCGACAAAATGGGAGAAAATATCTGCAAACTATGCAACTGATAGAGGATTAATATCCAGAATCTATAAAGAGCTCAAGAAACTCAACAACAAAACAAACAATCCAGTTAAGAAAAGGGCAAAGGACTTGAACAGGCATTTTTCAAGAGAGGAAATTCAAATGGCTAACAAACACATGAAAAAATGCTCAGGTTCACTAATCATCAAAAAAATGCAAATCAAATCCACAACGAGGTTTTACCTCATCCCAGTTAGAATGGCTCTCATAGAGAAATCAACAACAAATGACACCGGCACCATGGCTCACTAGGCTAATCCTCCACCTGCGGCGCCAACACCCCAGGTTCTAGTCCTGGTTGGGGCGCCAGATTCTGTCCCGGTTGCTCCTCTTCCAGTCCAGCTCTCTGCTGTGGCCCGGGAGTGCAGTAGACGATGGCCCAGGTCCTTGGGCCCTGCACCTGCGTGGGAGACCAGGAGGAAGCACCTGGCTTCTGGCTTCCGATCGGCACAGCGCATCAGCTGTGATGCGCTGGCAGTAGTGCCACTTAGGGGAGGGGGGAACCAATGGAAAAAGGAAGACCTTTCTCTCTGTCTCTCTCTCTCACTGTCTAACTCTGCCTGTCAAAAAAAAAAAAAAAAAAAAAAAACAACAACAACAACAAATGATGTGAGGATGTGGAGGGAAAAGGTACCCTAATCCACTGTTGGTAGGAATGTAAACTTGTGCAGCCACTGTATACGACCGTATGGAGATACCTCAGAAATCTGAATGTAGACCTACCATGTGACCCAGCCAGCCCACTTCTGGGAATTTACCCAAACAAAATGAAACCAGCATATGAAAGAGTTATTCGTACCCCCATGTTTATTGCAGCTCAATTCACAGTCACTGAGATATGGAATTAACCCAGATGTCAATCAACTGATGACTGGATAACACTCTGCAGTACTACTCAGCTGTGAAAAAAAATGAAATTCCATCTTTTGCAACAAAATGGATGCAACTGGAAACTATTATACTTAGTGAAATAAGCCAGTCCAAAAAAGACAAATTCTATATGTTTTCCATGATTTGTGGTAATGAATAGAGTACCCAAAAGGTAATCTATAGGAGTGAAATTGACATTTTGAGATTCAATGACTATTTATAGCACTTGCCTCAACTGTTGAAGAACAGTGCTTTTTTTCTTCATACTATTTTTTGAACTTTTTACTTAGTGTAGGGTTAATCTTATGAGTATAAAGTCAACAGAAAATAGTTAATTTAAAAAATATGCAAAAATTAAGAATGGGAATAGGAGAGGGAGGAGGAAGAAGGGTGGGAGCATGGGTAGGAGAGAGGGTAGGATGAGGAGTACTACTATGTTCCTTAAACTATACATATATATGTATATATATATATATGAAATACATGAAATTTGTATTCCTTAAATAAAATTTAAAAAATAAATTAACAAAACAATATGATCAGTTAAGCCCAAACCTAGAGAGTGCCAGCTATATGAGGAGCAGAGGTATTGGGAGAAAGTCATTGATAACCTATAAGAGATCATTCGTTGTGCAATGGTAGGTCAGAAACTGGGTTGCAGTGCCTTGAAATATGAAGAGGAGAGGAATAGAAAGGTAGTAGTAGAAAGTCAAGTCTCTCTTTTGTTTCACCTGAACTTCAAAGAGCTACCTGAAATTCAATGCATAAATGAATATATTAATGGATGAATTTATAGAATTTTCTGCCCAAGATCAAGATGGAAAATAAATTGTAGTTGAGGTCATGGAATGAAAATAGTAAATAAAACACTTTTTCATAGCACAGATTGTATGAAAACATTTCCCTAATCAAAATTAACTTACTGAGTGGTTTTCCCTCAATAAACCTGCATAGTTTATGCCTGAAACTGATTTTAATGTGTTCCTATGTCTTTTATTTGTACTTTGCTTTTGTTTTTGCTTAAAATGCATTCATGGTTAATGAAGCCTTTAAATAGTTACCTTGAGGCCTCATCTCCATCTCAGTGAGGCCTGAACCTTCTTCTCTGGAACTGAGGGCCTTTCTGCTACACTCCATTGAATTAGCTTCCAAGGTATGCTAGTGGCAACTCTGATACATGAAGCGGTACATCCTGATCTGATGTCATAAATTGCCTAAGTAGGATTTTGTACATAGTAGACTCCACTTTGCTTTCCATCAGAATGACTACCAAATAGTTGTGTAAAATATATATTTCTAGTGGAGTTTAAATATAAAATCATGGTTAAATTTCTTGCTGTAAGAATTCATAGCAACTCTATTTTTATTACTCTGTCCCTGTTGTTCTCAAACTAGAACATGCAAAGAAATCACCAACAGAATTTGTGAAATCAGAAATTGTTGGACCATTCTCAGAGTTTCCAATGCAGTCCTTCTGTGATAGAGTCAAGTAATTTGCATTTCTAACAAGTTCCAAGGTAATATGGTTGATGCTGACAGAATCACACTTCCAGGAACCAATACTCTGCAAAATATACCATGTGCTTTCACCATTTCTTTTTCTAGTTTTATGTTGTCATTCAAGGAAAATGAGGCAAATTCTCATTTCAACATTGCCACTTTGGCTCTTGTCAGTTTCTCTTGTGAAAAGCTACAAAGGAATGAAGGAAGGAAAGAACTTTGAAAGCAGTAATAAAATGATGTTAGGAGTTGCCAAATCTGAGTTTCCAGCCTTCACCCATTTTTATGTGTATTGAAGGTTTTATCTTAGTCACTAGATGCTAGTGCCTCAAGTCAAATTACAAAAATGAAATACAGCTAGAACTAAAAAGTGGTTCTCTTTCTATTGCAAAATGTTAATAAGGTAATTCTTTCTCCATCAAAGTCTATTAATACTTATCTAGAAAACAAGGGTACTGATTATAAAATAACAAGAAAGAATAACACTCATTTGCCAAAGCTTTATTTTTTCATTTTTTATTTTGTTTTTAAACCAAAAAAACAGCATGCCTAAAAATCTAAGCAATCTAAAGGTAGTGCTTAAACCGTGATCTTTATGGCTGAGTTATTTTTCCTTTACTTGATGTATTGACAAAGAGAACAGACACAGCATGGTACCATAAGTAGGTCATAATATGTGTACAGCGCTACAGAGCAATCCAGAGAGGTCCTGAAGAAGCATCTCACCTGTTCTATGCCTGAACAATTCCAAAGAGGTTAGCACCACGTTGAGTAAAACATTTGTAAGAACAAACTAATACTTGGAGAGGTATCAGCTGTAGATTCCTGCTTATCTTCCAGTTCTAAAAATAAAGATTAAAAATTAAATTAAGACAGTACTCAATAAATATTTGATTAAAATAAATATTTTATTTCTTAGGAGTTTCAAAACACTGACTTCTAGAGGACACATTCTTCTATTTATGCTTGATTTGTTCCTTTCCCATACACAATTAAACTTAACTGTCTATGAAAGACATACTCAACAGTAAACATAATTCATATGATAAAGGATTATATGTGCTTTTGGCCAAACATTATTATGTAAAGTAACCATAAAATATTTTGGATGAGAGTGAAATATAGTTCAGTCAGGCTGGTGTTGTGGTGTAACCAGTTAAGCTGCTGCCTGTAGCACCAGCACCCAACATGGGCACTGGTTTGAGTCCCGGCTGCTCCACTTTAAATCCAGCTCCCTGCCAATGTACGTGGGAATAGCAGCAGAGGACAGTTCAAACCCTTGGGCCTCTGAACCCACATGGGAGATGCAGAGGAATCTCCTGCCTCCTGGCTTCAGCCTGAGCCAGCTCTGGCAATTGCAGCCATTTGGGGAGTGTACAACGAGTGTACAAGCATATGGAACTTCTCTCTCTCTCTCTCTCTCTCTCCCTTTCTAACTCTGTCATTCAAAAAAATAAAAATAAATCTTAAAAAAGTACAATAAATGTGAATCTGACTTCTGCCTATAGGGGTGTTAAATTGTCAATTATCATACATTTCCTGAATGTCCCAATGGGCATCTTGGTCTTGCCCGTTCAGCATCCATTTCCCATGGAAATTAGTTCTCCTCATCTTCTTGGTTCACTTTTTGCAATGTTCATTAAGAACTTCACTGGTTGAGTCTCAAGCAAATTGTCCAATATATAACTTAAGTTTTATATTTCAAATATCGCAGATATTTCTTCTCAGTGCACAACACAGGCAGTCAAAAGTCCTATTAGCTAACATAGCATACATGTCCAGACCACTTATATTTTAAATAATGGCAACCCCACAATTTTTATCATTGCTATACCTTATAATCAACTTCTATAGTCAATACAGTTCTCAGTAAGGCTTTCAAACAGGGCCACACAACTGTTAGGCTAAGTCGGTTGATAGTGTGGCTTAGTTTACCATGGAACCCATCAGCCAACATCATCACAAGCCGCAGTGAGAGATGTAACCACTGTTCTGCTTACGTTTCCACAAAAGAACTTTGAGATATAACTTATAAGTTTGAACATATAGACATAATTGTTAATCCATCCTTGTGGAAATAGCAGCCTTCTAACACTGGTGATTTATTAGTGATGATCCAAAGTCCTAAACATATCACTTTCACCTGTACCCCCAACAATTATTGTGAAGTGCTTAGAGGACACATAGCACTACCCTAATCATATGCTATTTTAGATGAAGGGGAAAAATGATGTAGAATATATGCAAATATAAATTCTTTCCTGCAAAGATGTTCAGTTGATCAATCAGAAAACAGTTACTTTCCACAATGGGATCTTGGTGTTGTCCATCTAGCAGCCATTTGCCATTCTGCTGCCACAAAAGCCCACTTTTTCTTCTAAGGGAAAGGAAGGAGAACAGTCCCTCCACCAATATCAGTCCACATAATGGGAGAGTAAGAAGACAATTCATCACATGCTTTGGGTCAATATAAAGCCATGTAACTCCGCCCAGCCAATATCTTGACCACTTCCCTGTGACAATTGTGTGACTAATCTAGGGAAAGCAAATGACTCAAGACAGTCCCCAAAAGCCAATGAGCCTCTGACCCAGGACTTTCTCTTGTCTTTTGAAGAAGGGAAGCTCTCTCTCCACCCCAGAAGGTACAATTTAAGGAACTACTGCCTGAAAATGAAGACAAAGGAAAATTGAGACTATAAAAACGGACATATTCTTCATGATAACATTGGGAGCCTAACCTGGCCACAACTCACTATTTATTCAACCACACTCACCCCTGGACCTTAATCATAATTTGAGATAGTGTCTGAATTAAATAATTTTGACAAAGAGTACTGACAAATAAAAGTAACTGAGAATCTACATGTCATTAGGCAAAGTGTCAAAGATACAAAGATACATAGCCAAAAAAAATCCACGCTTTAAAAACCTTTCCCAGCATCTAGTTGAAAAGACAAAATATAACTAGAAACATATGGCTCAACTTAATGATAAATTCTGTGTAAATGCAGAGAATACTAACATAGGCTGATATTAAGCAAGATTTTACATTAAAAAAAAAACTGAGCTGAATTTTGAAGTATGACCAGAATGTGACTGCCTGGAGAGGAGGCAAAAGAACATTTTGGGAAGGGTGAACTATTAGAGCAGAAATTCAAGAACATGCATATTGAATTGTGTAAACATACAGTATAAACAATAAATTGACTATAACATGTTAAACCATGAGATATCAGCAATAAATACATTATTCCAGAAGTAAAAAGAATGCATCATTATTTCTCTAATGTAGACACATCATGTATATTTAAATCTATTCTAAAGAAGATAATATAGATTACCTCACTATAATGGCTAGGTGTTTAAAGTCTGCTTGGAGAACTAACAAAAATCAAAAGCTAAGCATGACCTTTTTATTTTCCACACAAGGGTCAACATTCCCATCCAACTGGCTCTCCCTGCCTTCTTCTGTAATATAGCTCAGATAGCACTAATGGTTTATTGACATCAAATCAGACTGCACACATTTGCTCAGCTCTTGTTTTAGAATCCTAAGCAAATGATAGAGTCATGAACTAAGAGAAGGAAGTTAGAGAAAGAAACAAACATAAGCCAAAGAAACAAATGGAGCCATGCATTATTCAATTTGCTTTGCCTAGTTTCCCCATGAAGTGAAATGTTTATAATCGAAACTATTAAAAGCATTTTCTATTTCCAGTGTGGTTTTAGCCATTCCCCATGTGTCATTAAGAAATTGCATGGGCAGAATTTGGGTTGGCTCTTGTTGCAAGCAGGAATGCAAAGTGATTGTGTCCCTCTTTCCCCCTCTTGGACGGGTTATTGTTTAGTTAATTAGAATAAACTGAATGTTTTGCTTATCTTTTTGTTTGTTTTGCCAAGGGCCATTGTCTATCTTGTAATGAATTTGAAACTTCATTAGTGATTATTCCTTAACTTATAATTTCTATTTGTAATATATTTCTCAGGGATATGAATTGATTTCTGAAAATTTTGCTGAGAAAAAAGGATCAACATGATTCCTTGCACAGACACTTTTCCAACTATTGTCATCATATTCAGTAATATTTGCATGAAAAAAATTGAAATTTGTATTTCCATTTGTGGCATAACTGCAATTGTTTCTAATGGCATTACATATAACGATACTTCAAGAAGGCTGTGGAAATGAGATTAAAAGAAGTTTATCTGGGTACAAGAAGTTTTGAAATCCATGCATAGTTATTTCATACTATGCATTTTCCATAAGCTTTCAGAATTTCCTTCAAACATCTATTTGAAATGAATGTTACAAAGCACCAATGACACTCTGTCTTGTAAAGAATCTCCACAAACCTCAATTAACAAATTCCCATGGTTCTGTCAAAGATATTTTCCACTTTGGTTGATGTTTTCAGATAGAAATTAAAACACAGAATTAAATGTCATTTATATAAAGCCAGAGAAGAGGAAACAGAGTTGACCTATGATTAGAAATGCCTTTATTTTGAAAGGATATCATTTCCGCACAAAGCTTTAAAAAGTGAAATGCTATACTTAAGTTTAATTTTCATTCTTTACTATTTACAATGAATGTATTATTTCCTGAAACAAATAAAACAAACAATTATATCCTATTTCCATTTAGGGAAAAGTAGTTTTCAACTCTAAATTTAAATGTGTTTGCTAAGTTTTATGTTCGTTGAATGGTAGAATTGAGACATTTTAAAAAACCATTTAACATATGGCTTGGTGACAATCACTGCCATATCTTCAACTTGAGAAATCAAAAATTATCAAAGTAACGTTTGAATAAGGCTTCAATATTATTTGAAACAAAAGGAATAGAAAAAGGGAGAAGATGATAAGATGGTTTCCATTTCCTCAGGAAAAAATATCATGGTAGACAAAATAATGCTCCTCCAAATGTATCCACAACCTAGTTCTTGGAACCTGTGACTATGTCTCACTTTACTTGCCAAATGGACTGTCTTGATGTGATTATGTTAAAGACTTGGACATATGTAGGTTAGCCTGAATTATCCAAGTGAACTCAATATAACCACAGATTTGTTCAAAGAGAAGGAAGAAGGGAAGAGAAGATCCAAGTGATGTGATGTGAGAAGGACTTGATCAGCCCCCACTGCTTTGAAGGTGAAGGAAGAGGACCATGAGCCACGCACAAGAAGACAGACTCTGACCAGAACCTCCAGTATGAAACACAGCCTATCACACCTTGATTTTCACAGTGGGGGTCTATGTTAGATTTCTGACCTACTAGACTTTATGTAAGGGAATACATTTTTCTTGAACGATTACGTTTATGGTAACTTATTACAACATGAGTAGAAAACTGCTAGAGGTATCTTGTTCTAACAAGAATTGGAAAGCATGATATTGCAACCATTCCCTCTCATGGAATTGAGGCCCTTTCAAAATAGAAGAACTTTGGTTTAATCCTTTCATTATCCACATAGGAAACTAATCCAGATATTTTGAGAAGATAGCTGGTCACATGATTCAAGACACTTAAAGTTCACTAAATTCTAAATTATTGTTAGTCATAGTATGTCTCCCAGGCTTTTTCATCAATAAAGGGTTTTATTACAGTTGAATGACCATTGTAGAATAGTTTGAAAGAAAAAATTGTTGGAAAGAGTTCTCATATAATGTACAAAAGTACAGGGGCTGGCACTGTGGCGTAGTGGTTAAGGCCACTGCCTGCAGTGCCGGCATCCCATGTGGGCACCGGTTTGAGTCCCTGATGCCCCACTTCCGATCCAGTTCTCTGCCATGGCCTGGGAAAGCAGTGGAAGAAGGCCCAACTCCTTGGGCCCCTGCACCC